TTACTTTTACTTATATTGAGCATGTATTCAAGGCTATCATACAATATTGAATAAGAGTTCTAGTTAGCTTCGGTTGTATAAGTTGGTGAGTTTCACTGAAAAGAGGAGGTTTACTCATATGATTGTGGAATGATTGAACCATCAGTTCTTTATTACCCTAGCGTTAATGGAATTCTTATTCAATATTTATTGATAGACTCAGAAACCTACTTTCAATAAATATAAGTAGCCTAATCGAGGATAAGCGAATGATCAATGCTCAATCACCCTATACTACCTAAGGTGACTACAGCTCCTATTTAAGAGTTACCGTTAGTCTTGAAGTCCTTCTTTATATGAATGTAATTAAAGCTGAATTCCGCTGAGTCGTCTGGTGGTAAACTGAGCACTTTTACTATTATTCATTTGAAAGTAGTGTTCTTCGTGCCTTTCCCTTCGGTTGTGGTTGTGGCTTTTGAATATTTCAAATAAGTCCACGGTCTATTACCCGGCCACCTTCTGTACGTACTTGTCGGAGTTTCATCTGTCGTCTGAGCCAGAAGCAAATGTTTGAGGGAATCTACCCAAACAGAGCTACACTTATTTTATTGTTGTTGCTGTTGCTGTTGTTAGTGTTCAGACAAAACGAAGGCTACAATACCAACGGGCATTTGGAGAGGACACGACAACCTCGTCCTACGAGGTCTCCATGACGCCGGGCTCAAGTTGCGAAAGGTGACTGCGGCCAACATCGGACCCTCCGAACTCCTTGTGCTCCGTACGTGGTCAACTCGAGCAGACCAGATCTCGAACAATCTCGCGCACACACACGCATACACAGTCCTGTACATGCATCACGGAGAAAATAAGAGAACAGTCTCACCGAAGAGCAGATGGTTGCTCACCTTGGAGACGATTAAGCCCTCCATGTAGGTGTCCTGAAGTCGGAAGCCCCAGGGTGGGCCGTTCTTCAGGGTGATGACACGCTCCATCAACGGCATGTTCAAGTGAGTGTCCGGTCGAGCTAGTTGAGTCTCCGGTCAGTCCGTCTCCGCCCAGGCATCTTATCGCCTCCAGTTGGCAGAACGTTGGTTGGCGTCGAGGCCGCAGTCGAGTGACGAGTAGTGCCTGCCGGCAGACGCGGCAGCCGTGACAGCGCAAGTTGGCACAGGTTAGCCCAACTGGAGGGCGAGAGACGAGGCACCACGAACGGACAGACGGACGTGCTGCCGGGTTGTTGGTGCCGTTGCCCAGGCCTGCGTCTAGCCCATCTTCCACGTCTCCAGACCTTGGATCGGTAGGCCTGGTAACTAGACAGAGATCTCCTTTCGTCCCCGCAGCATGGAAGACGCGTCGCCTCCTGGCCCTACGCCTCTCCGTGCTGGTTGGCCAGCAGGCATCGATTTCTCCGCCCTATCCCGGCACCCGGCACCCGGCACCTAGCAACCGATACCCGCAAGCGGACATAACTACAGTCTTCCTCTGACTCTACCTCCTCCCACCCTTCGCTCTCTCACGTTCAATCAGCCAGTCAGTCACTCCAGAAACCCAGCCTGACGGGGTTGGATGCTGCCGTTAGGTGCGATCGATAGTCTCCCTTCATGTCCGAGTTTGCTTCATTGATCGATATTTACACAGTCTCATTTGCCTTCCTTGCGCCTACACCCTCTGTTCAGCTATTTGTTCACTCAACTGTCTATCTTTTCCTTTCCCAAACCGGCTTTAGGCATTCTGCCTTGCTCCTGCGCCCTTTCTCGCCCGGGAACCTTTTATTTTCCTTATCCTTTCGTCTGTACGTCCGTATATCTGTCCGTGCTTCAGCCTGCAAACAGCACCACCACCGCAACGGGGAGTCAAGCCGCCCTCCCTAAGGTACCATTTCCACGATTTGTGCGCATAGCATTTACAGGGTGAACTTGAGGTTCAGGCAGCAAGGGAGTTGGCAAACGGTACAGCCGCTTTGTGAAAAATATGTGAATAATGACGAATGTATGGTATTCAAGGGGTGATATTGGCAAGAAATCGATAAGCATAGGTCTAACCAACGGTGGGTTCGGTGATAAGACGGTGCGCCTGAGAGACGGAGACTGCCTTGAAAAGGGGAGGCCCACGATCCCTACGGCCTTGATAAATACCTTGTGGACCCAGGGCGACGGAAACGAGGTCACGAGGTGGCCGAGTGTGGATGGGTTGTATTCGCAGCATCGACCACTACTGCTTCGACGCCATCTGTCGAGACAATAGCAGACCTGGCCAGCACACGCACACACTCAAAGTGTCTCTTTAGAATTGTCGTTGACATGGTGGCTCCTCTATTTTCCTACTCTCATGAAAATGTAACTTCAAGCGGTCAGGTACTCTCCTCTTCGATAAATACCATTTGATAAGTTGTGAAAGGGGTCTTGACCATAAGCCTAGTTACTGTGATGCTGTGAGTCAGAGCATTAGTAAAACAGCCCAACAACTATTCAGTCACGTAGACTCACAGCAGCTCCAAGACGATGTGATTTTGTGCTCTAATTTGATCGACTTCGAGCTTTTATCCTTTTCTGCCACCTGAAAATTCCAGTGACGAAACGACCTCAAAGTTCCCGAGGGCAGCAAGCTAGAAAGTATGCATAATGCAGAAGATTTCCAGACATGTGAAGAAGAATCAGACTCTCTCTTCATATGCTCGTGGATGGCGTGGCAGAGTTTGTTGCCTCGAATTAGTCACCTAGACGCAGGGAATGGGTAATAGCGCCTCGAGAAGCACAGATGGGGTGGCAGGGGTCGAGTGAAATGCTTGACCCTGGGAGATAGCATCGGATCCTATGGGACAAGAGGGAGGCGCTGATAAGGCCTAGGATAGTAGGACTGTTTAGCACACATTTGGTCAAAGAATCGGCTTCACTTGTCACTTTGACAAGTTGTAGTATGGTGCGTAGAATGGCTAGACTCACTGAGAATGCCGACTACGATGCCGGCAAAACGCACCGAACTAGGTGCGTTCCTATAAGTCTTCCTAGCAATATGACCATAAAGCGAAAGCAAGGTGAAACAATTTCTATACTATGTAGATACGAAGAGAAACTGGGTTTCGATGAATCTCCTGAGATAATGTTGCTGAGGGGACTTTTATTTCGTATGAGAGTGCATGAAGAAGAGATTCGTAGGTCGATCTCACC